ATTGCAGTCATAATGGTTATTTTTCAAAGATATTTTTCTTGCACTTCCATTACTGAAAAAGCACCAGAATCAAGACAATAAATAAGGATCACCACTCAGAAACAGGAGAACTCCAGACAATGATAGTCCACACCTTAGTTACCTCTAGATTGGACTACTGCAATGCACTCTACGTGGGGCTACCCTTGAAGACGACATGGAAATTCCAATTGGCCCAACAGGTGGCAGCCAGACTACTAACTGGTTCAAATTACAGAGAGTGGTCAACCCTCCTGTTTAAGGAGCTCCACTGGCTGCCATTTATTTTCCAGTCCCAATTCAAGGTGCAGGTTTTGACTTACTAAGTCCTGAACGGTTTGGGACCTGCCTACCTGCACGACCGCATTTCTGTCTACGAACCCACACAACCTCTTTGATCTTCCAGAGAGGCTCGTCTCTCGCTCCCGCCCGCATTGCAAGTGCGACTTGTGGGGACGAGAGAGAGGGCCTTCTCTGGGGTGGCCCCCCGGCTCTGGAATTCGCTCCCCAGAGATATTAGGCAAGCCCCCACACTGGCAATCTTCAGGAGCACCTGAAAACCTGGTTATTCCAATGTGCCTTCAATGACTGAATGTAAGAAACTCCCTGACCAAACTTTGCATAAAATGGCCTCAGAAGCACTTTATTTTATGGTCCGTGCAATTAAATCTTTCCTCATCCCCGATAATTTATATTGTCCTTTCTCCCTGTGTTTTAAAATTTTGTCATTGAATTTGGCCCTGCCCAGTCTAATCCTCTGTGTTTTTAATGTTTTGATTTGATTTTGCTGTGTTGCTCATTATATTGGTTTTGCATTTTATGTATTTTTTTTGGATTTGTTATGCTTCTGTGGTATATTGTGTTTAAATGCAATTTATTTATTTATTTATTTATTTATTTACTTTATTTCTATACCGTTTTTCTCAGCCCTCAGGCAACTCAAAGCGGTGAACAACATCCATACAAAACATCATGAGACAAGTATAGGGCAATTAAAAACAATTGTAACATAAACCATTAAACATCCGTATAACAATCATTAGCGCCTCAACAGTAAAATCAGAATCCAGTCACATCATCCATTATTCCGTATTTCTATGTTCAATTACACTGTTTAATCAAATGCTTGTTCGAACAGCCAGGTCTTCACTTTCCTCCGAAACGCCAGCAGGGAGGGGGCCGATCTGATATCTGCAGGCAGGGCGTTCCACAGCCGAGGGGCCACCACTGAGAAGGCCTGTCTCTCGTCCCCGCCAAGCGCGCCTGTGATGCAGGCGGGACCGAGAGCAGGGCCTCCCCAGATGATCTTAGGGTCCTAGCCGGTTCATAGGAGGAGATGCATTCGGAGAGGTAAGTAGGGCCAGGACCGATTAGGGCTTTATAGGCGAACACCAGCACTTTGAATTGTGCCCGGTAGCAAACTGGCAGCCAGTGGAGCTGGCACAACAGAGGAGTCGTACGCTCCCTGAGTGCTGCTCCTGTTAGCAACCTGGCTGCAGAACGCTGGACCATTTGAAGCTTCCGAGCAGTCTTCAAAGGCAACCCCATGTAGAGAGCGTTGCAGTAGTCTATACGGGATATAACCCGTATATTATTATTATACACATAGATATTATAGGCATATAGGTATTATTGTTATAAATGTACGGATATTTTTGACAGACAGATATTATAATTATATACATATGAATATTATTATAGACCTGTAGATATTATTATAGGCATATAGACATTATTACATATAGATATTATGATAGAAATGTAGATATTATTGTTAAAGACATATAGATATCATAGACATATATATTATAGATTGGTAGATATTATTATGATAGATATATAGATATTATTATTATTTTAATGTATTGTCGAAGGCTTTCATGGCTGGAATCACTAGGTTCTTGTGGGTTTTTTCGGGCTATAGAGCCATGTTCTAGAGGCATTTCTCCTGACGTTTCGCCTGCATCTATGGCAAGCATCCTCAGAGGTTGAGAAGGTCTGTTGGAAGTAGGAAAAATGGGTTTATATATCTGTGGAATGGCTGGGGTGGGGCAAGGAGCTCTTCCCTGCTGCAGTTAGGTGTGAATGTTTAGCTGATCACCTTCATTAGCATTTGAAGGCCTGCCTGAGTCTGGGAAAATCTGTTGCTGGGAGGTGTTAATCTGTGCCTGGTTTTTTCCTCTCTGTTGTTTAGCTGTTATAATTTTAGAGTTTTTTAATACTGGTAGCCAGATTTTGTTCATTTTCATGGTCTCTTCCTTTCTGTTGAAATTGTCCACATGCTTGTGGATTATTATTTTAGATATATTATAGCCCAGGGTTGCTATAAAGTAAAAATGGATGGCCATCTTTTGGGAGTGTTTTGTTTCTGCCTTCCTGGACAGCCTTTGCTAACTCCCAGAGTGTGCCTTTTTGTCCCTTCTTTGAATACTGGACTTCATTTCCCAGAATTCCTTCCCATAACTCAGTATGGGTGAGGTTTCTGGGCACACACACACACACAGAATCCCTCCGGAGGCAGCGAGACAAGAAGGAAAGGAAAGGAAAGGAAAGGAAAGGAAAGGAAAGGAAAGGAAAGGAAAGGAAAGGAAAGGAAAGGAAAGGAAAGGAGGGAGATCTCTCTCTCTCTCTCTCTCTCTCAGCGGTTGGGTTTTTTTCCCTCATGCAGGAGCGAGGAAGGGGGTTCTTTTAACACAGGCTCTATATAGGCATTTAGCCTTGTGGGGGGTAAGTTCTTTCCAGTTTATTATTATTATTATTATTATTATTATTATTAT